TGGGGTATAGTACAGAATGGAAAGAGGATGAAACAGTTAAGCATAGGAAAATGAAAGATGACTGGGATAACCAAATTTTTGTGTTTCACCGCGCACTTTTTGATATTTTTTGTGTTGTTGTTGTTGTTGTTTTTACGAGTCATTGGTAACGATTGATCATTTACTACCCGAGATTGGTCAGTGAAAAACCGAATAAGTGGTATTCATGGGTTTCTTACCATTTCTGTGTCGGTGATTTGGTGTTTCGTGCCCTGTAGTCATTCTGAATTCTTCATTTACCCCAGCCTCCAGAACAATCTGATTACCGATCAATCCAAAACCCCGACTCATCGATCTCGTTGGAACAATTTGCAGCTCTCTTGTCCGGAACACAGCTTACGGCATCCGATCACGGTAAGGTTCGGTGTCCTGCTGCTGCCACAGCCCTCGCCGCAGGTGAATCCGGCGAGCAAATATTCCCCCTGCTAATCGATTCATTGGTACAACAATTACCCGGTCAATGTGAGTTTTTCGCATAGTTCTGATGCTCTCTTTTTGTAATCGGTCTCTCTAGGATAGTTGATGCAGAGTATCCTTAGTTTGTCACTCACACGAACCAATTGCATCCGAATTCGATATTGAATTTAGCCACTATACTCAACGACACTTTCCGTATCGATGATGCCTGTGATCTATCCATTTCAAACTCATTCATTACTCAGAAAGGTGTGCAGTGAACATGAGACAATATATATCCGTACTGACAAATTTTCATCTTCTCTCCTAAAACGCCTTCGATGTAATGAGAAGAAGGCATGTACTAATGGCAGGCGCCACGATGTTAAACAACTCTTGATTATCACTAAGGCAGAGATTCAGCGCTTGAATCGGATGCATGTTGAGACCATCCTGGGCAATCAGAGATGTTGCGAGATGTGGTCGGCGTTGAAGCAACTCTGTGGCACACCTGGGAGCTCCTGTCCTGACGTAGAAGAATTAAACCGACAATTTTCTGCCTCCTCTTGGTCCAATTCTCCACCGTCCGTTTTCAATTCTTCAGAAAACACCAACCCTGTTTCTCCGATTCAGGTCCTCAAAGTTTTGAAGCAACTGAAGTCAAACAAGGCCTACGGACCGGACTCATCAACCCCTAATTTATTGAAAACCTGTGCCGAACACCTTGCGACATTCGTTGCAAATTCGTTTAATTTGTGTGTATCCCCCGGAACAATCCCTAATTACTGGGGGACTGCCCGGATAAGATCCATTCTCAATGAGGGTTCTTCAAAATAATAACCGATTGCATGTACTTCAGTCCTGTCGGAAGTCTTTTAAAGAGTGTTGTTGAACCGTTTGACTACCCTCTTTGTTGTTTTTGATCCTCTTCAGTTTTCGTATAAGAAATCCTTTTCGACTGTTGAAGTTGTGGTGTATGTCCATTCTGTGGCCTCAGTTCTTGATAACAGTGCTGGGACTGTTCGCCTTATTTTTATTGACTACGCCAACGCCTTTGGTTCGCTTGACCGTCGCATTCTCATTCAACGTCTCGCTGATTGCGGCTTAGAATCCGACGTGATAAACGTTCTTGTAAATTACTTTTGTTTTAGGACGCAATTTAACTCATGCAATGGTACAACGTTGTCGTCTTCTTGTCTTAACTCTGGTGTTTTCCAGGGCGCCATTTTGTCTCCTTTTTTTCCCTGTAAATAAACCATCTGCTTGTCCCCACCAACTTTATTGCCTGCAAGTATGCGGACGATGTGGTGATTGGGTGCACTTCCAATACTGATGCTTCTTTCCACCAACTTCAAAGCAGTTTAAACGACGTTTTTAGTTGGTCTCTACCCCGATCGTTTTTGCTTAATGTTTCCAAATGTGTCGATGTTCCCTTCAGCCTTAAATCTGGCTCCCGTTATCAAACTACCTTTAATGATTTACCGGATCTAGTAGTTAACAGCCACAGCATTCTCAGAGCTGACTCTGTTTAATACCTCGGAGTCGTTGTATCCCACAATCTCTCTTGAACCTTGCATGTAGGGAACCTTTACAACAAGGCTCGTGAACATTCTTTCCATGCTTTCAGGCTTAGGAGGCTTGCTGTTCCCCCAAACGTAATTTTCAAATTCGTGGTAGCATGCCTTCTCCCTCATTGTCTGTACTGTCCCCCTGTATTTTTTCCCGGCTTAAAAGAAAAAGGATTTCGTAATTCTTTCCAGGTCTATAAAACTCCTATCCCGGTGAGGCGGCATAGCCAGAGAAGTTCTGGTTTCATTTGTTGTGTGCATACACCGATGCATGAGAAAGAATAGCCACCAGAATCTCGAACAAAGCAGATCACTGCTTGCACAACGAACTTATTAAATCCATGTCGAACCCCTGTACCCGCTTCCAATATAGACTTCATTAGATGGTGGACTTGAGATCGTGTTACCCGGTGGTTAGACACTGAGTGATACGGCGAATTGTCGTAAACAGCGTCCTTTGTGAATCTTCTCAATTTCTTTCCAACTTTTGTCCACTGAAATTGTCCATTTACTCTTCGACACTACTTTCCACTTTCCTATCTTTCTCCTACTACTTCATCGAAACGGGCAACCAAAAGACAGCAATCAAAACCGGCGCACGAAGGTCCATGAATAATGCTTATACAATCTGAACTGAACGGCACAATAATATCGAGCCACAATCTGCCTAATATGTGTCAGGTAGACCTTTCTGTTTTGCACTGGATGGGGAACGAAGTAATTTGATCTCGGTGATGTGTACCTTGTTTTAAGCAGGCCGCTCTTGGTCTTAGCGATCCGTGGATCGGAATAGCATTCGGAATGTCGTAGTGATAATCAAGGCACGGACGCCGCCTTCGTCACCATGTTAAGCGTGCTCTCTGCAGATCAAACAATGAGGCCACAACAACAGCGCGTTTCCTTTCACAGTTGTTTATGCAACCCGAATAGGGCGCCATTATAATACACCAGTTGTCTTTTCTGCTGACCTCCGTTGCAGACAATTCTCGTTTACAGAATCGTATTACATGATTCTAGATGGCCTAAATAGTAAAGTTCTCAGCTACAAATCTCATGCGGGCTGAAAACTTGGGTTTAAGGATGTCAAAGAGGCAGAAAAATACAGTGCAGAGGCATATGCAAACTATGATTTTACCTACCGTATTTGAAAGCATAATACTACCAATCAGTTGGATGAACTCTCGGGCGAATCGACTGTGACGATGCATTCCTAAAAACTGAAGAGCAATAGAAACGAACATAAATACACTCAAAAACCGAAACAAATAAGATGAATTCACATGTGTATATGTTTTTGCTTTTTTGAACGCTACGCACTTTCTGGTTCTCTTTTCTTACACTATTATTTCCTATTCGGTTACAGAACTACACAGACTGAAACTGCAATTTACTCATATTCCTATTATGATGGACTTCGGCTATACCTGTCTTCTAGAATGCCAGAAAAACAATCACAAGTTATAGGCTTTTTAAAGCCAAAATTCCCTTTTCACTTAACCGGGTTCAATGACCGCACCCTATCAGATTGGTCCACAAGCTGCCACAGCTAGAACCCTTTCAATTTAGATGTATGCAGTCTCCGAAACACGCGTCTCAGACGATTCAGCATCCGAAGCTCGCGGTGTCGCACCAATCACGTTGCGTTCTTAATACTCCGATTGGTCGTTCGGACGACAGCTGTCTGATTCGCCTTAGTTGTCCAATCCAGGATCGATTCGGCTTGGGCGTCACGGCCGCATTTATGGTGTGACGCAGGTCAATGCGTGGCCGGACGGTTTCTGTGTGCTCCGTTCTAATAAAAGTGTAAAAAACGCACAAATCTCCGGTCATTAGTAATGGTCGCTACCTTTTCCGTCCAATACTCCCAGTTGATGCTAGTCCCCCATCTGAAATAGTTGTTTCTCAGGAAATAAGCTATCTGAAAAAGCATAAAGCCTCTGGTTCAGATGGGCTGTTCCCATCGGTGTTCAGGGATGGAAGCTCAGCCTTGATTTTGGAGTTACCGAAACGCCTGGGCTCAGTATGGGAAAGGGAAGACGTTCCAGCTGAATGGTGTGAATCGGTGATCATTCCAATTTACAAGAAAGATGATAGATCCTCTTGTGAAAACCATAGAGGAATTAGTTTAGTCGATATAATCTTTAAACTTCTCGCTGGTATTATACTCCGTCGATTGTCTGCGGCACGTGAACGGTGCACGCGTGAGAACGAGACTGGTTTTAGACCTGGTCGAGGTTGTATCGACCACATCTTCATTCTCCGCCAAAATCTGTAACATCGCTATTCTTTTCGTGGTCCCACCATCTGTTTTTCTCGATTTGAAAGCGGCTT